AGGAAGGCAGGAAATAACAAAAGGGGAGCCTGTGACAGGCTGGAAGGCAAAGCTGAGTTACTGCCAAAAGGGACAATGGAATAGGTCAAAAGGGAATAGTAATGGCATAAGTGAAGAGAGAAAGATTGGGCCTAGAGGAGCGATAACTGTTAAGGGAAGGACCTTTTTGTTTGCAGCTGCTATCTGTGGTTATGGTCTGATGTTATTGAACTCAATCTTCAGTCTAAAAGACAACAGAATGTCTAACTGAAAGGCAACAAGGATCTTTCTATCCTGCATTATAACACACCGGAACATTTCGTTTTAAAAATATCTAAAATTTAGAGGGGGAATTCGATGTTGTTCAATGACTAGACCCAGTTTTAGTCACATTCCTCAATGATCCATCATTGAAGATTGTTGACTACATCAGCTGTCAATTTGCACTTAGCTCCTCTGATGTTAAGACTAAATACAATTATCACCATTTATTAACAACTGAATGTGTATGTCCTATCTTAACTAGGAGTTGACCCCCTCAAGGCAGTATGTTCTAACGATATTTTGCTCATTTATTACAGTTTGTCAGGCAAGTGGAATTTGTTTCATCCTTATCAGTTTGTTTTTGCAAATGAGTGATTTACAAGCAACCAAGTTTCTTGAAGTTTTCTGCATGTTGATGCCTTTAGCGTTTAAGCTCATAATGTCAAAACAGTCAAAAGATGGTATTAATTCATTCTGTCAACTGCACATATCCAAACTTCCTAGTCAAAATGGCAGGTGCTTGTTTAAGAGCAAAATGGGTCAGGAATCAATAGGATACTGTTTGAATTTTACTGATTGTCTGAGTAAGGAAATTGCAAAGCCACTTCTACTGGACTATAGCAGGGCAGAAACAAGAGAGAAGCGTGAAGAGGCTTTCTAGTTAACTAAAAAAGAGAATGTTCTAGCCTCTCATGTCCCGCATGTCCCTTTCTCTCCTCTGAGGCTCTTTCAGAACCCTGTCCTTTGCATGCCCATGATCAATGTCCTTTTCTCTCATATGCTCGACACCCAGTATGTACCTGAGGTTCACTGTCACTGAGTCAGGGGCTGTTAATGTACACCACCTTTACCTGGGGTGAACACAGACCTGCTCTCAATGTGCCATTTATTTCAATAACAAAGACAAGAGCCTACATTCATGTAGTACCTCTGATGCAGTAGAACATTTCAAGACATTTCACAGGTGTATCATGAAACGTAATTCAATACAGAGTCACACTAGGAGCTATCAGGGCACTGAACAAGTGTTCGGACAGAGCAGGAAAAAGAGGTGGCAAAGTTTAAGGAGGGAGGGCAGTGGAAGTCAGAAGGCCAGTTAGATAGAATACTCGAGTCAGAAGATAACAAAGCCCATGGTGAGAATTTGAGCAGCAGATAAGCTGACATAACGTAAGGAGATATAAATAGGCTGTCATAGCGATAATACAGACATGTGGTCAAATCTTATCTCAGGGTAAACAGGATACCAAGTTTGCAAATATTCTGCTGCAGTCTCATGCAGGGGTGAGGGGAGAGACGGCATCAGTAATATGCAGAGATAGTAGGAAGTGCAGATGCTGGAGAATCTGAGATAACAAGGTGTAGAGCTGGATG